TCCATCCATCCATCCATCCATCCATCCATCCATCCATCCAGGGCCGTGTCGCGGAGGCAGCAGTCGAAGCAAAGATGCCCAGACTTCCTGATAAACACACACTTCCTCCAGCTGCTCTCGGGGAACCCAAAGGCGACACCTAGCCAGCTCAGAGACATATACCCTCCAGCGTGTCCTGGGCCTTCCACCAGGCCTCCTCCCAATGAGACATGCCTGGAACACCTCCAGAGGGAGGCGACTAGGAGGTAAACAGATGCCCAAGCCACCTCAGCAGGCTCCTTTCGACCTGGGTAACTGAGCTCCTCACCCGATCTCAAAGGGTGCACCCAGCCACCCTGTGAAGGAAACTCATTTTGGCTGCTTGTATTCCTGACCTTGTCCTTTCAGTTATTACCCAGATCTCATGACCATAGGTGAAGGTTGGAACGTAGATCAATCGGTAAATCGAGAGCTTTCCCCCGACTCAGCTCCGTCTTCACCACAATAGTCCTATACAGCGACCGCATCACTGCCGACGCTGCACCAATCTGTCTGTCAATCTCACTCTCCATTTGTCCCTCACTCATTAAAAAAAACAAACAAACAAAAAATATTCAGTATATTAATTCTAATTTGTTTTTGTTAAAAGTATTATTTTCTCCAACTCCATGATCTTGAATTTTGTCTTTCTATGTAAGAAGTTCAAGTTAAAAATACCATTTTGTAGGTGCTATCAACAGGACCTGCAGTATTTATAGATCACCTTCAACAACCCCACTTATTGCATTGCAGGATTTTTTTCATAGCACAAAGGCTTTAGAGCTCATTATTCAGAATCTTTGAGGTTCATGCCCTATTTCCATACAGTGTCTTGTAGAAATAAAGTTACCCCTCTACAAACTTTATGTTTTGTCCTATATTCTATGTTTTAGACCAAACAAAGTCATGCATTCAGTAGTTGCGAATAGGAAGGAATATAATAAATGGTTTCAAAACATGCCTCAGAAGAGCGTTTATATTTAGGCTTATTAGAAGCTTTGCTGAATTTTTTTTTTTGTCAGCATTTCATGCAGATTCCAGGATATCTGTTAAGCTGCTGCTACAGCTCCTTAAATGCATCCAGCTGTGAACCTTAGCTCCTCTCTAACACATTAATATACTTAGATCTAGGTCATTCTGTTATTTTGCTCGCTGTTTGTTTGATTACCTTAATCGCAGTCTCACATTTTTGGGATTTTCTTCATGCATCTTTTTTCCCACTTTATTATTATCAATTATTAAAGGTTTAAGGGGTGTGAATAATTTAAGAAGTGGATGGGAATTCAGAGGGCACAAGTTCATACAGTATAATGCTATATTCTTCATCACACTGGAACTAGTGACTCTGCTTATAGGAGGATTAACTAATGTAATATGCCTTATTTAGTTTGGCTTCATTTGTTTAGAAAAGAAACAAAATGGACAAAATGTCTATTTTACTGTAAGGTCCTAAAAAGAAGAACCTGAGCTGCAGATAACAGATACAAGAGACACAGATATAATAGTGGATTACAGCTTTATAACAGCGGTGGGTTTTGGGTAATGAAGAGTTCTTGGATTTGCTGTCAGAGCAAATTAGCAAGCAGCAACCTGCTCACACCCACATCACCTCCTGTTATCGCCTTTATCAATTCTGAGCATTTCTGACAAGCTCTGGCTGAATTTAGCCTGGAATAGCACTCACTGTGACACTGTCACTGCCTGAATGAAGATGACAGAGGTGCTATCAAAGAACGCTGAGTGCAGAGCGCAGATTTTCTTTATTTTTCTCAATCGGAACTGTAGAAAGTTGCTTCAATTTACCAACTCTCTCACCCAGAAAATCCACCCACGGGTTTTCCAAACAAAACCTCGAACTGCACTCCTTCCACAGCCTCAGCAGGGGAAATGCTAATGCAACTAAGGCTGCATAGAGACAGGGGGAATAGGCTGGTGGGAAAAGATGATGCTGTGAAATGTAAAAATATTGACTGCATAGAAATGAGTCTGAGATGTAATTATACAGAGAACAGCTCTGGGATGTATTAGGGTTACATCCATCCCCAAAACCCCAAAAAACAACAACAACAAAATATATAAATCAACACAGAATAGTGAATTCAATGGCTTCTGGGTATTTAGGCGAGCTGGTTGGATACCTGAGGCAAAGCTTGCATAACGGTGTCCAGCAGAGCTCTCATTCCAACCGCCATCTTTAGGAGCTTCAGCACTGCGGAGAAACACACACAATACATAAAATATTATGAAATACGCAGGCTTATATAAATAGAAACGTTAGATCCAAACTTCTACAAAGTTGAAAATACTTTCTAAAATCCCGTAGAAATTGTGTGAATCAATCATTATTCAATGAATTCTATTAACCTCTTCTCTTTGTTCCACCTGCTGACTAATTTCAAGTAATCTCCCAACCAACCTCACAAACATATAGACTTTGCAAATATAACAGACTGATCTCTTTTGGGAAGGCTTTCCATGACATTTAGGGAGGTTTCTTTGCAAATCTTTGACTCTTACAAAAGTATATTTTTGGGGTCAGATTCAAATGACGATGCCAAATGTGTCTGTTGGCTTGAGGATTGTCCTTTTTTTTCAAAACACACCTACAAGCCTTGTCATTAGGTCCTTTATCTGTTGTTTGCACAGTCTCTAACTTTTCTAATACATTTGAAAGCATGAAACTGACCAAACTGTCTTGTTCAGATAAAGTATTTCAGTTCTTTTCAGCTAAGGGCCATACTCCAGAAAATTAAACCACATCATAGTACTCTCTGAACAAAAACAAAGCCTCTAGGCAACTTCTAAACCAAGATTCATCCATTGAATCTCCCAACTAAGAGGTGAAGAACACGTCTCAGATGCTCTAGAGTCCAATAGTAGTGTACTTTACACCACTTTATTCAATGCTTTGGTATTACTTGCTGATATAAGGCTTGGGTTCACTGCTTGCGTGATTGGCATCATCCTCCTGTTTGATCAGCCCCAAGTTTATGTTCATACATGTGTAAGTATCTATATTGGTTTCAAATCTCTCTGCATTTGCAGTTCAGTTCAGTTTGGAAACAAATTTCAACCTGACTCCTTCAAATACTTCCTCAAACCATAACAACGGCTGCACTGTATATTACAAATGGCTTTAGACATGTTTCATATTATGTCTGACCAATGCACATATTGCACATATTATTGTAGTTATTGCATTCCTTACCTGAACTTTCTAAGCCGTGTTAAATACTCTGTGAGAGTCTTATGCTAGGTTCAGACCACACACAGTGGAAGCAGCATAAAAGCTTCTGCTGCTTCATTTTTCTGCTTGTACACATTAAGGTCTGATGGATCTTTGACGCTCCTGAAGTGCGTCCTGTTAAGTGTGTCCAGATGCGCCTGATGCTTCTGCTGCTTCTGCTGCTCCTGTGTTCAATGGCAGAGAGCGGCTTTGCTATATTTGCTGTTATACATGAGTAAAAAGTATTTTTGAAATGTTTTTAAGTGAGAAAGTCCACCTGAAAACATCATTACATCATTACGATCCTGCCTTCAAGTAATATTTCGCTGCCTGAGCCGCTCAGACCCACTCAGACCCACTCGTAGGGGTTGATAAACTGTTTTAGAGGAGTGATCATAGGGATCTGCATCAGCAGTGCTGTGTCTGTCTCACTGCCAACTCCCAGATCAGCTTCTCTGATTGGTCAATGTGGCACGTCAAGCAGCAAAAGTCCAGTTTTTCCAACTGGAGCAGCTGCTGCTGTTGCAGCACGTCACACGCGTCAGATGCTCAGAAGCTTATGAGGCACTGCTTCTGCTGCTCAGCCGCGCTGCAGGACCTTTTGCTGCGCTTTGATGCATGTCAACCATTGACTCTGCATGTAAACTAGCTGCTCCTGCTGCCTCTAGCGCGTCTAAAAGTTTTATTATTTAAGTTCAGTTCTTGTGTTGTCTGCCTCAAATCCTCAGGAATGGCTTCCAGACAACCAGCATCCTTTCGGTCCTTTCAGTCCCTATTCTTAAAGGGGTTTCAGGGACTTGTTAATAAATTAACTTAAGAATGAGGGCTTTGTTTCCTCTTTCATAGGAATATCCCTTTTACAATCTTTTATTATTCATGATTATTCTTAAGTAGGATATGAAGTTAGAATATAGTACTTATGAAGAAAATGATCAAATATTTTTTAGTTTACATAGGCATTTAAAAAGCCCTGTTAGCCCATTAGCTATTAATAGAACTAAACATTTTATAAAATATATTTTTGAATCTTAAGAAAAACATAATTTATCTTTCTATCAATATTATCTCTAATTAAGGCAAGTATGGACTTGTAAAAACAGCACTGAGTTATTCGTAGTCTTTCATTTGTAAAAATGTTTTCTTTTTTGTATACAAAAATTATAAAAGTAAAAGAAAAAGATGTATTTTTTCTATCCAAAATACTGTGATACTCTCCTTGTTCATGGGGAACCAATCTTGTGGATGGTTTCGATGAGGTAGCTAAAAAGATAAGACTTTCTAGAGGAATAAAACGGTTATATCATTTTAAAGCACCCAATGAAAACCTTTAAAGTGACTAACAGTCACTGTAGGACTCAGGTAATTAGGGTGGATACATCCAAGACTTAAGAGTTTGTAGAAAACTTAGTTACGTTGTTGTAAAGATGAAAAGCAGGGGTTAACTTTCATCTATCATGTAGCTTCTGCCTTCCTTATCTCATCCTACATTGACTTCCACTAACTGGGCAGACACAGTATCTGGACAGTATTGTAGCATTTACTTGGTATCAGCATCCCTGCTTATCTTTTACTCATCAAACATGCTTCCATCTCTTTTACCATCTCTCTATATATCCTTCCTGTCCTCATTTTCTTCAGGTCAGTCTTTTGCCTCGGACAACTACTGTATTTATTACCTTATGCCATCTCCCAATAATTTATCTTTAGGTGAAAGTTATTCATTATTCTCCATCTTTCTCCTATGCCCATCTTTATTCCCCCAACTATCATATTCTAGCTTTTTTCAGATTAGGTCCTTGCAAGTGCTTTGTTTGTCTGCCCAATGTGTTTCCCTGTGCCATCTGGTTAGCTCACTCAGCCCGAGCCCTGCTGGGATCTGTCATGCAAAAATGACAAATAGGGAAGTCCCAGCGATGCGGCTGTTTTACTAGAATCCATAAAAGTACATGCGCATTTAAGGAAGAGCTGCATGGATGTGTATAGCAGAGTACAAGCAGAAAGGCAGAAGGAGAGTGCGGAGACAACACCTCTTGTGATCCTCAGCACTCTCATGATGCGAATAATGGTGGGGTTGATGGGCATTGAGGCGTTGGAGGCGTTTGAGGCGTTGCCCTGAATCTCCTCCAGAGTGATGCCCATGATGGACAGCAGCACAATGATGAGGTCCAGCTGGTTCCACCTACACACACAACAACAACACTTATCAGTCACTATAACCAACTTGCTGAACAGTACTTCATTTCAGCAAAACATTTGACAAATATGGTTCCCTGCAAAGTGAGAAAGGAAAACTTACCAGCCAATCCTTCTCTCCAGCACTGTGGCATTAACAGTTGGATTTCAGTCGGACTTCAATGCCTAAATTCAACTTTAACTGGACTAAATATTAGATTATCTCAGTTTGGCGGATGAGCTTCTGTAACCCTGATTACTCCGAACCAGTTGAAGGAATGAAAACGAAAACCGGAAAAGAACAGAATTTTACCAGGAACGGAAACAGAAACGAAAATAAAATGGTCTTCAGCTGAAACGTTATTCTGCAATCCAAAAAAATGGTTAATAAGATTTTTATTTTCCTTTCTCTATATATTTTTTATAAAATTTCACAAAAGCATAGCCAATGTCAGTGGGGAAAAAGACTATTTCCAATTGTATGTTCACTTTGCCGACGCCAGGCTCAATCCAGGCAGCTGGCAGTATTTCCTATTCCTTTTCCAGTACCACCCCAGCAAGATGCTGAGACGCAACTGAGCTATCATCAAACATAAAAAAAGGTAACTGAGTTGAATTAACCAAATCCAAATAATAACGTTAACTTAGTAATTCACTACAAAGGTTGCAAATATTAGACTTTTTTCTAGCTACAAAAAACAAATCAGCATCTACACTGTTCATGTGAGCTAACTAGACAGCTGGCCAGTGTGGTTGTTACGGATTGAATGCTGCAATCTATTTTGGCTTTTACATGAACCGGTTCAGGGCCAATATGCGGTGGCGAAAATGTTAAACATAGCTGAACTGTTTGGAACGGAACAATTGAAAAATTTAGTTTTCAAGCCCTGGTTAAGACATGGCAAAATATTTTAGTTTTAAATATAACATTTTATTCAGCCAAAAGACAGCCACTATATTGATGGCATTTTTTTTTTTTTTTTGATAAAATTCAATATTTTTCCAAAATAGGTTGCCCTTTTTACATTGTTTCATTATGCTTGAAAATGCCTCATTTCCTATAATAAACAAACTTGGTGCATTGAAAATCACTCAAAAGGAGTACCAACTATTTCAAGCTCACCACCAGTTGCAGTTTGGTGCCTAAAATCAATTAATCTATATTTCTATGGTAAATTATACCATCCTCATTTGGCAGTAATCCCATTAAAGTTATGGGAAAAAATGTACAACTTTTTCCTTGCCAGTTTTATAATTTTTCTTTTACTTTTTGCTATGGAAATAAAATTTTGAAAGGAGTAATGTAGTGTTTTAATAAAGTAAGGGAAGATCAATCTCTTCTCTGCAAGGTTATTCGAAGGTTAGCAGCGTTTCAGGCTAAATTCACCTGAGTGTAGCAAATGTTCCACAAGCAGAACGTTATTACATCTTTTATACACTTTACAACACATCACATAACATTGATGAGAAACAGATATGGGAAGGGAAAAAAAAACACTGAGAAACTACGTGAAACTATTATGAAGTGCACCATAAATATGATCTAATATTAACACAGTTATATTTTTAATCATCGTCATCTTATCCTAATTACTGCGTTGAACTTAATCAGTTCACACCCACTTATTGCAGGTACTAAAATATGTATGTATATGTATCTTTTGTATATCAGGCCCTATAAGTGGCCCAAAACGGTAAGACAATTATAAGTTTAATGAATTGGGCAACACATTCAGCCAATTAATAACCAGGTCCCATGCCATCGAGCAAAACATTTGGCAAGATGAGGCAGGAAAATTTTCATCATGGGAGACAGAACATTTGGACTGCTATGCCTAAAAAACAAACAAAATAATTAGGCAAGAGCTGCCTTAGCATACCATTTATAAAAAGTTGATAGGATGGCACATTATATGGTATCTCTGAATTACAGCTGAGCTGAAATAAAAATGTTCAACATGTCCAGGAAATTAGAAATGTCTGGAGACCACGGCCCATAATCTATAGAACCAGGTGTTGATATTTAACAGATTTAATGAAAAACCCAGCTGACAAAATTCGGACATAGCTCTAAACATTGTTGAATTAAAACATAAATACAAACTTTTCACTAACCTTTTCCACCTTTTTAAAAACACATTGTAAATGACAAGAGATGCATATATTAGTAAACTGAGAGAAAACTAAATGTTCCACCTCAAATCAATACAAATAGAGAAGTGGAAATACCAATACTTTGTAAAGAGATAGAAAAGGATGTAAGTGGTTTTGTTAAACTAGGTTTACTGTAACATCTCTGGTGTTTTTTTCCCTTCTCAGATAAATAATGATGCAATATGCTTATTTAGCTTGTATTCTTAAGAATTAGAATGATTTGTAGTGTTGACATGGTGAGAGATGTTCGAAGAGGTGTGCCAAAGAAAAACAGGATAAGAATCAAACTCTTTGGTCTGGACAAATGAGGTGAGTGTATGTGTTTAAATCCATATTTATGTCAGCGATGCTGCAGTACTCGTCTCCTGTTGGGATTGTGCTGGTGAATTACAAAGTGGTTTTCAGAGGGAAAAGAAATGCCATATACTAACTTGTCCTTGAAGAAGCGATGAAATCCGAATGCCACCAGCTTGAAGACTGATTCCAGAACGAAAATAACGGTGAAGATGTAGTTGCAGTTCTTCAGTGCTTTAGTAAGTTTCTGGAAATAACAAAGAGATAATATTTAGCATCAAATACTAAATTTTTAGTTAAACTGAGCACAAAATTATACTGATGCCACTGTGAAAACTGTTTCCATCTGCATGTAAAAACCGACCTTTAAGAGAGCGTCGAAGAAAGCGCTGCAGGTCAGCAAGGATTTAAATAATCCCTCAAGGGTGGCAAAGTCACACCAAACAGCAAGGCACAGTTTGTAAAACATTTCTTTACCTTACGGTCTACTTTAACTTTCTAATTGTTCAAATGTATTGCTTATTAATCAGTGCATCCATTCAGCTAAATACCTTCTCCTGTCGCACAACACATACATAGTATATTCAATGCTCGAGATCCCCCCCCTCTTTTCAGGTTCTTATTTCGGCATCTCTTCTAAAATATGCATCGTTTTTCATTATTACTACACAATAAATTCATTCCTTTTGATCTTTCAAAAATACAGTTTTAATTTTAAGTCTCGCTAATAGAGGAAAAAGGTTCAAGAGATTTGAAATCTTCCACATGGCCAATTTCAATTCAATTCAGTTTATTTCTATAGCGCCAATTCACGTCATCTGAAGACACTTTACAGTTCACCAGATCATACAGTCAAATTGTTGATTGCATCGACTCATTGACTCGAAAGCATCCCTCACACTAAGCATGCTTGTAGCGACAGTGGAGAGGAAAAACTCCCTTTTAACAGGAAGAAGCCTCCAGCAGAACCAGGCTCAGTGTGAGTGGCCATCTGCTGAGGCCGACTGGGGTTCAAGGAGACAGAAGCAGAGATACAAGAAGCAATTTGTGATCCTGTCTAGAAATGTTTATTGTCTGACCTTCGGTTGATCGTAGTGCTCCATAGACATGGTGATGACGTTCAGGCCTATGACAATGGTGATGAAGAGGTCCAGGTAATGGCTGGTGCACAGCTTGTGGATGAGCAGCCGAGTGGGGGAGTAATCCGAGTAGTAAGGCTTACTCTGAGCTTCTGTTGGAATTGGGGGAGTTGGGTGGGGGAGTAAGGGAACGGGTAACCAGGATGAGGAGGGGTAGTGGGAAGAAGAGGAGGGGAGGTGGTGGTCAAATAGTGAGCTAGGAGGTAATAAGCAGGGACAATGTACAGAAGGCCTAGAGTGCTGAGGAAAAAAATAACAATGAATCATCTGTGGAAAAAGGAGGAATTAGTTATATTTGATGGTTGAATCAGACTGACAATACAACATTGTGGGAAAAGAAGTGAGAGATTATAAAGTAGAAAGGTAGATCGGATGACAGACAAACAAAAAGGGAGACTCTCATCAAGTATTCTATGCCAATGACTGATGAAGCACATATCCACCTCTTTTAATTATTACCAAACTTTTCATTTTGGATCAACTCCCCAGTGAAACTTCATTCAGGAGATATCCCTTTTTTTTCTCTGGGACCAATCAAGATCTGCCTTTCCTTACCTCATTCACCTCTCGCAGGTAAAGAACCTATGTAATAGTGTAGGAAAGTAGTTTACCATTCTCATCCATCACTCTGTCTCTCCCCTGCTCCTTCCTTCCAGAGGAAGGATAGATGAGTTTAGAGTGAGGATGAGGAAGAAAGAGGAAGCCTACGCCATCTATCACCTTATCGCCTCATCAGTGAAGGAGAAGTTACATGGTGGGGAAATTTGGCAAATGAAATATCTAAAAACAAGTTGATAAAAAGATAAAAGGTCATTTTGAAAGCTTCATATAGTCAGCACAGGCATGCATCTTTATGGAGTTTCCCATCCAATTAAAGGAACTCTACCTATATACCAGGTAATGACTGTAAAACTTAAAAAAATTCAAGCATTCTGCCTGTCCAGGATGCATCTTGTTTCCATGAGGCAAGGAAGATGGAGACTACTTTATCCTATGTTACAAATGTTTTATCTAAAAAAAAATAAGGATATTCTAAAACCAAAGCTTCTGCAAATTTAAACCAACCTCATAAAAAACAAATTAAGGAGAGAAATTAGATAGTTAAATGTAAATGTAAATTAAGCATATTCATGTTTATTCATTGATATTTATTTTCTTTTTGGGCATAAGTTACAGACTTATTTTGAGGTAATCAGTGGGTCCATTAAAGCTATTAAAATACTAGAAAAGGATACTAACAAACTAAAAGAAGGTAGACAATTGAGTGGCATTATAACAGTCTGTCTAAAGGGCTATTACAGAAAAATCTAGGCACCAGAGAGCTACTAAGCTACTGGAAACATCTTTTTATTAGTCAACCTCGCTTAAAGCATTTTAAAGAAATACCATTTAGTGTTACTACAGCATTTCTTCCGGAAGCACAATTTGTCCGCTTATATGTGCATGTGCTAAAAGAAATGCATCAGGCTAACTATGGTTTTATTTTCAGATTTCACTGTAGTGATATAAAAAAATCTTTTTTTTAAAGAGCTAGATAATAAGAATATAGATAAACATATGGGATCACATGTTAGTCACTGTACAAATTGAGTAAATAAAGTTAATCAATCAATCAATAAAGTAGCTTTTGTTATGGTGCTTTGCTCTGAGCTGACAATATCAGTTCCTCAGATCAATCAACAATCTATTGGGTTTTAGAGGTCTGCATTCTAACATTGATAACAAAACTTGTATTGTATATATTGTAACTATAAATAGTTTAGCATGCCTTTCATTTTTTGTTTATTCTAAAAACATATTGCTTTTTGAAATGACTGCTTAATGACACCTTCCTAAAATGAAAAAAGCATGTTTATTTGCTTGCTAAAAAGCTTGTGTGTTAGCACATGTGCAAATAAGTTGATAGGATGAAGTGAGTTTCTGGGACTAATAGAGAAGTGACAGTAGGCAATGAAGCTAAAAGTTATCAATACAATAGTAGACTATAACACTTAAATCAAGCTAATAACCTAAAAGCATTTTAATGAGCTAAGAGCTTACTAGTTTAAGGTGGCCAGATTTCTGAAATTTAATCTGGGAAAATTTCATAGATAAAAATAAATATGTTTTAGGAAAATTAAAATAGGAAACTGGGAAAGTGATGTTTTTACCCATTTATACATACTAATTTAATTAATATAAACGTTGTTTTCAGGAACAGGCCAGTTTGCATTAATACACAGTCGGAAGGAACCTCCCACCCACTCCAAAAAAAAAAAAATAAAACAAACTTAAAAACATATAAAAAAAGAAAAAAACATATTGTTCTCCACAAAAAGACAACAAAATAAAAAAACCGCCACCAGGTGATAATACAGAATCCACAACAGCAGCACAGCAGGGAGCAGCCAGCAGCAGCCAGTAAAAAATGTGGCACCACTAAAAAAAAAACAATAGAAGATTATAATAAGAAGAAAAAAAAACAACAAAAAAACACATATAAAAATCGAGAAAACTCACTGCAGAGGGACACGGTCAAAAAAGATGGGAGATTTCAGCGTGGCTGCGTCCAGCCGGCTGTAATAACGAACTTCCTTGTCTGCTTTAAAGCTGGTGTACTCTGCTAATCCATACGTTAACAGCTGTTTCTGTGTGCAGCATGCTTGCGCGCTCTTTCTACTAAAATAACAGTTTGTATGCAACATTTTTCCCCTCATTCATAAAACTGTAAATTTGGGGATAGCTTTAGCCGGGGACAGGAGGTCGAAAACGGGAGACCAGATGCCCTTTAAGCTGAAAAGCTTATACAGAATAGAAAATCTCTTAATGAGCTACTGTAATAGTGAGCTAAAAGGCTAAATGCCAACAAGTAAATAATAGGACAGCTAATATGTTCAAGGTAATATAGACAGCTATATTTTTTTAACAAAGAAGTTATTATATTACTGTTTTCTGAGAACACTTTTAGAATCTTGACTTAAATCTGGCAGAGAATTTGTAAAAGCAGGTTCCAAACTCAAAACGTTGGACAATAGACAACAAAGTCTTTCTTTTGATTATTGAAGAGGAACTTGTCAAAAACAGACGTTTTTATAACCTTAAACTAAATAATTGTAAATCTCAATAATTTCTAATAAGTATTTGAAACTTGTTGAATAATATGTCTTATGGGCAAATAGTAGATGAGCTGAGTAATAGGCAATTAAAAAAATTTAAATGGAAATTATAAACTGTCTAAAAAGTTGAAAGTCTTTTGATTGAAATGTTTAAAGCAAGATATTTTGAATGTTACTGGCATGGGGTTTCACTTTCACGGAGTTCTTGCAACCCAAATCATTTTAGTTTTCGGATCATGGCTGCTGACAGATAATTTTCCGCTTGCTGGGTATTATCAATATTGACAACAGGAGATATTCCCTAGAATACCAGTCATGTGGGGTGAATCTCAGGGTGGCTGGCTGTGGAGTTTGACCGTTGCTGAACACCTACAGAGATGTGCGTGCCAGAGAAAGGAAAACAGTATGGCTTATGGTGTGCTCAGTCTGGCTCCTAAAATAAGGGCACCTCAGCTTGCTGGCACACTTTGTCATAGGCTATCCTACTCAGCACCTCACAACTTTATTTGATCCAGACACCTGCAATTTCTCATAGCGTCACAAGCTCTTTATAAACAGAGCTATAAATTTAGATGTCAAACAATATGGCCACTGGTTGAACAGTTTTAGGACGTCTAGGATATGTTTGAGAGAACAGCTTTAAATCTGTACAGGTTGGTAGAACTGTTGCAGGATTCAACAGCTTGTTTTTGTTTCACTGGGAGTTTGTATTTACACTATTCTTCATCATCTTCTGATCTGCAGCCATTACTCTTCCTCTGCTCTACTTACTGTCTCCAGGTGCAGGGCGAGCTAAGGTAGACAGAGACAGATATAGCCAGTCTACTTCTAATACGTTAAAGCAGAGGCTCCAAGGTAGTGTTATGTTTTCCCCTGTACCTGACCCAATTATATTGTTCCATAGTAAAATATATTAGTTACTAGGTCGGGAAATTGTTTATTATGGAACTGCCAATGTGAGCAAATATGAAGCCGTTCAACAATGACCTTGTATCATGAAAAGAACAGAAAGGGCGAAGCCAAATAAAGGTCGGGGAATATGGGAGAAGGAAGCTGATGTTTTTTGACAAAACCTTAAACAATCTACAGTTAGATAAAAATTGAGTGTAGCAAGGCAACAGAGGTGAGGATTTGAAAACCAGACCTTTGCTGCTCCCACTTTCACTGTTCTTTCCTCTTCAATAGACCGATTGCCACTCTCTATGAAGACTGAAGCTTCTTCTTTCTTTTTTTTATTAAAACAGGAACATATCAATTGGAAGGTTATTACAATGCCACTTCCTGCTCTCACTTCTCCCCTCTTCTTTTCTCCTAATCCCTTCTCTGATGAGGGCGATGAGACATTTTCTTAAACACTGGATATAATCAATAAATCAAAGGAACAAAAGTGAAAATGTACAGAGAGGTCAAGACTAAGCTCCCTGTAATTTTGGCACCTGCTCCCTGTATTTCCATTTAAATATTTATATTTACATAAAGTCAGAGAATATTTGATAAACCTTCCATGACAGAAACTGAAAGGGGTCTAAGATCTCGTTGCATCACCACCACTGATGACAAACCTGATGCAGTTCTATATTTCTTTTGCCCGTTATTCATTCTTTTTTTTCTAAAAACTAGAATCTTCAAATAATTTTATAAATCACCAGATGAGTTGCACACCTTGTGACCCGGTTATCTCTTCAAGTCAGTTCTGTACACTAAGCAAACTCTGTGACATAGGCTGTCTCCGAATGTCTGCCCTTCCATTTTATAGGAATATCCAAATGTCTATTTGTATCAGAAAAAAGTAGAGGACACCAAATTTCCCACAATGCACCTTGAAAAGAAGTTAATATATAGATGGTCACCATATGAGCATA